TTTGATAAACTTTATTGAAATTATTTATTCCAGTATGGAGTGGTAAGTTCTAAATGCCCATAGTACATATTTTTCAAAAGAAACTTCACTGTGCTATTATGAACCAGGTTAATAATATTTTGTAATATCTAAATATCAGTATTATAAAATTCACTGCTTTTATAAAAATTGAAAAAATAAAGCATTTACAGCATTTTGGATATTTTAGCATTAAAAATGAATTTAAATACCTGATTTCATGTGACAGAGAATGATGCATTCTTGCAAAGGTGATTTTCAAGCTCTTAAACATAACTAAAACCAAATATAATTCATCTAAAAGACTGGAAAAAAATGAAGTGGGCATTTATTTGAAATTACAAAAGTTTTTATGCTATCTCTGTGTGCACGTGTGTGCAATTTTTTTTTTACAATTCTTAATCAGATAAATCTAAAAAGTTGAAACAGCTGAATCAAAAATTTCCTTATCTTTCTTTTTTGAGTGGAGGTGAAATTTAAACTCCTAAAAATTGCTATGCATACACACCAAGAAGCTCCCAGAATTTGTTCTTAAACTTTACTCTCTGAATGTATAACTACGGACTACAATATCTGACAGAAAAATTTTAGGCCAATTAATTGCTTTGCAGCAATTAAAACATTAACATTGATGTTAATGAAACATAGCTGGTGGTGTTTCATAGTGTTACAATCTATTCTTTTCTAGCCACTAGAGCAGGTGTCCTAAGTAAAATTCTTTATATGTCAATGAAGGCTTTCTAAAATACTTGGTAATGGCTTATAAGTAGTTTACTTAGTAACGTCTTTTTTTCCTAGATAACCCCTAAGATTGGCTCCTCTGAATGATCAGACTGCAAGTTCGAGTTTAACATGAATAAAATGTTATAAATGTTTTATTATAAAAATTTTCCTATTTGTTTAGTTTTTATAGGGAAGGACTTATGGAACTGAATTATAGTGCAGAAAAATCAATATGACATAAGAAATGACCAAATTAAAATGACAAAAGAATATAAAAATCTTTGCTTATAAATATAATTTTCTCAATTTAAAAATAATTCGTGAAGAGTTTCTTTGATTTGTTTGGTAAGCAAGTCTTATGGTGAGCAATATCTAGAAACCATGCTCCGTGAGAGCTGATGAGAAGACAGTTCCATAGATGTTTAGACCCAAGGACTCACAGCCCTTGTCTGGGAGCAGCAGCAGGAGTTGCTCTGGCACCTCCATGTGTTCAGTTCTCGTGGGTGCCACGTCTTCAGTTAATACTACTCAAAAGTGAAGTGGCCTTGAGGGCATTAGGCTGAGTGAAATAAGTCAGACAGAGAAAGACAAATACTGCATGATTTCACTTATATGAGAATCTAAAAAAACTGAACTCACAGAAACAGAGAACAGATTGGTGGCTGCCAGAGGCAGGGGGAATGGGTGAAGGGGGTCAAAAGGCACAAACTTTCAGTTATATGATAAAGAAGTCCTGGGGGTATAATGTACAGCATGGTGACTATAGTGAACAATACTGTACTGTATACTGAAAGTTGCTAAGAGAGTAGATCACAAGAAAAAATTTTTTTAATTATGTGAGGATGTTGACTAAACTCATTATGGTAATCATTTTGCAATATATACACATATCAAATCATTATGTTGTACACCTTAAACTAATACAATGTTATATGTGAATTATATCTCAATAAAACTAGAAAAAAAATTTTTTTTTAATAAGTGCAGTAGCATTGTAACGAATGAGCAAAGTTGGACAGCACTGAACGTGCAGAGAATACAAGCTGCTATGGAGTCCATAAAAAGCCCGATCTGCTGGGAGGTAGTGGTGTTTCCTGATTTTATGAGGAAAAAGCGAGGCAGCCCCGGAAACACAGAGCCCAAAATATAAGATTTTATGAAACCTCATGAATCTTTTCACCTTATTTTAATGGCAGCAAGGGTTAAATATAATGTACAATAGAATATGACTAACATTTTATCAAAACATTTTTTCTTTTATAATTTTTATTATACCATGGGATCCCCTTTTTAAATGAAAACACATCAGATACTGTCAATGAAAAAACAATTTACAAAGTTCTATTTACATGTAACTTTTCCAGAGTCCACCTACTGCACAAAGCAAGTGTGTGGGTTATTTCATTCAAATAACAAGAATTTGCAGTTTAGCGACCAAGGTAATTCTCCTTGAAATCTCTAACAATCTGCTAATTTTTTTAAACACAAAATGTTTACTTGGTCTTTTAAATGACAGGCACCCTTAGAAAATGTATTTCACCTGTACTTTAGACGGCTACAAGTCTATAGCACCAAAATCCATTTTAATAATATCAATATTAGTTATTAATATTGATTTTTTAATACATACAATTTCATGTAGACATACTGGAAAAATGAGAACTCCAGACAAATATGAATATCAAATTTTATAAAATGGGAAGTTAAAAACAGCAATTTAAAAATGCAAAGAATATTCTTTGATTAGATAACCAGATAAGTTTAAATTGGTTAGATTACAAAACCTAAGGTCTTAGAAAATCTTTGGTTTGAAAATCAAGACTATTTCACAACCCTAATCTATTATAAAATTTTAGAGCAATATAGAAATACTGAAAGTTATCAAAAGGTGCCAGATTTCTTAAGATCAAAGTAAACACCAGTTTTCTCCCTTGTAATTACAATTTGTGAAAGATTTTTCTGTATTCAACTGAATGAATGTTCATCTTTAAAGTTATTTATGAAGAAATCTTTTCTTCAATTATATAATGAACGATTGTAGCTCAGAACTGGAATGGTACAAGCAAAACATTCAACTTCTTCATACTTTGATAAATAATAAGTGAAAAAGACACCACCCATAAGTATGACACACAATTCTAGGGAGGGTCCCATTTACTTATATTTTAAAAAAACTTAGGGGAGGAAGGGGTAACATACTTAATTTATTGACTTACAGGACAGTGCAAGCAAGGAAGCCTTGCTCAAAGTGTAACGGTAGCCTTATAGACCTGCCCGTGCTCACTCCCCACCCTGCTGGAACCATGCAGTCTCTAAAATCAAGTACATTTCCAAAGTTGTAATGTAGAGAGAGAGAGGGAGAGAGAGGGAGAGACAGGGAGAGAGAGGGAGAGAGGGAGAGA